CCCGGTATTATCCGCACTGTATTATCCGCACTATCCCGGTATTATCCGCACAGGCCCAGTATTATCAGCACTGTCTCAGTATTATCCGCACTGTCCCGGTATTATCCGCACTGTCCCTGTATTATCCGCACTGTCCCAGTATTATCCGCACGGTACCGGTATTATCCGCACGGTACCGGTATTATACGCACTGTCCCGGTATTATCCGCACTGTCCCGGTATTATCCGCATTGTCCCGGTATTATCCGCACTGTCCCGGTGTTATCCGCACTGTACCGGTATTATACGCACTGTCCCGGCATTGTCCGCACTGTCCCGGTATTATCCGCACGGTACCGGTATTATACGCACTGTCCCGGTATTATCCGCACTGTACCGGTCCGCACTGTCCCGGTATTATCCGCACTGTCCCGGTATTATCCGCACTGTCCCGGTATTATCCGCACTGTCCCGATATTATACGCACTGGCCCGGTATTATCCGCACGGTACCGGTATTATACGCACTGGCCCATTATCCGCACGGTACCGGTATTATACGCACTGTCCCGGTATTATCCGCACGGTACGGTATTATACGCATCGTACCGGTATTATCCGCACCCACCGTACCAATGTTATCCGCATGCACTGTCCCGGTATTATCGGCACCGTGCCGGAATTATCGCACCGTATCGTATTATGCACACTTTACCGGTATTGTACACACTGTCCCGGTATTATACACATCTTACCGGTATTATACGCACTGTACCGGTATTATACGCACTGTACAAGTATTGTACGCACTATCCCGTTATTATACACATCATACTTTACCGCTTAGATGAACTTCTAACTTTGGTTCCGTCAATCAGAGTTCGAGTCTATGATGCAAGCCAAATAAATTTAATGTATTTAGTTACAATGTATGGATTACCATCGATTGTTTCTACTCTTATATTTCGTCGCTTTTTAATTTTGTTAGACTTTTGACGTCAGCGAAAATTGTTAATTTGCTCGTGGAAATATGAAGAGGCCTTGAAATTATCCTCATATTTTTGTCTTGTGTTGTAATTAGAGATAGCACTAGTAGAAAATGTAAATTATTCATTTAAATATAAAGAGGCTTTATAAATTATCCTTATGCTTTAAGATTGTGTTAAAGTTAAGTATGGCACAAGAGTTAATAACTCATGTAAATTTGAAGTAAATTATTTCAACGCGTTATCACGTTAAGATTGAGCGAGCGAAACGTATAGTTGCTTAAACTGTCAATTTAGAATCTAGATAAGACAATGTGCACCAAAATTAGGCTGGCAATAAGAATTATTTGAAGGCAAGTTACATGTAATAAATCATGATCCAAGAAATGTACTCATGAATAAATTTTTGAATTAAATTGTCCAATCATTGATTTAGGACATTCTATGTATAATATTAGTAAATATTGTGATGATGATGATGAGATCATTTTGTAATTTTTTATCCTGTCGAGAAAAATTTTATTTTATTATTCGCGCCTGTAGTAAAAATTATAACCATAAAATTTACGCGATTAAAAATGAATGTGCTTTTCGAACATTCTGATGTATTAAAAAAGACTGCGGTGAACTGCGACAATAGTTTCTATAATCTTATAAATATTCGCTGAGCGATTAAATTGTAAAATTTGTAAATTATGCCAGGATCGAATGTTGTGAAGAACCTGGACAAAAAAAACTGAAGAAATGATACAAATATCTGAATTTTTCATTCTCTACATTATAATTAATTTGAATTTTCTTTGTGCTCCAATTTTTCACAGCAATTAAATACAATCTTCACATCTTCCCAGAGAATACAGATATATTTTTTAAATTCCGAATTTTATACAGGACGCATACAGGAGTCCCACGACGAGACACATCGTTATCATTAAAATATGTTCATATGAATTTAAATGTTCATCAATGTTCTTGTGTATATGTAAAGAATTTCAGTGAAAATAACTAAATTAATCGATATCGGTGGAACTAGAACGATTATAGAAGGGGATGCCTAAAGATTATAATCAGAACTAAATTCATGATTACTGAATAATCAATTTAAATCTACAGTACAACTAAAATTTAGTACAACAGTGATATATGAGTTAGCGAGGATCGAACAAATATCAGTTGATAGATAAGATTAATTAATTATGAATCTCTTGTTACCTGGTTAGTTGTTATATCAACTTGAATCCTAATTTAACTGATATAAGTTAAGTTATAAGTTATATAAGTTATTTAATATATAAGATATAAGTTATTTAATTTAACTGATATAAGTTAAGAAACTGTGCACATATTCTTAAGTTTGTTATTAGACCGGGATACCATATCTCTCCACAAATTCTTACTCCATAGCGGCATAATTTAAATAAATTAAATTTCTGACTCTGGACTTTTGCTCTAAATAAAAAGATGTGGGCATGAGCGTTAATTTCTCATCTGAATTATTTCGTTATTCATTCACTATATATTCCACTAGTAAATGCAGCGAATGATTATATTTTTTTAAACAATTCGTAAGATTCAACATGAAAATAATTAATTTGAATACTTCTGATTACACGCCACACATGCCATATATGCCACATACGCTACTCATTTAGCTATGTCATACAAATGGGACATTAAGGTAACTGCACTGTAACTAAATTCATTGAAAAATTACATTTTATTAATAATCTTTTTCTTTGTATTTCTGATAATTGCCTATTGACTGTATTAATATATTAATACATTAATTAAATATATTTATTCAAATGATATAGGCGATTATAATTAATATATTATAATATATTAATAATTTTGAAAATGTTTCACATTGCCTCATCAAATACAAGAGCGTTGAATATTTGTTTGGTAAAATATCAGTACATTATATTATCAATAAATATCAATTTTAATTTTTGTATATATGGTTTATGTCGTATATGATGTTGATGATTATGATTTTAGATGATTATTTTGTCATTTCTTAATGATTTAATTCAATTTGAAGTAATCGAGGTATGATAGTTACTTGCACGATATTTTGATTATCTATTAAAATTCAACTTCAGCAAAGAAGAGTGCTAATTCCACAACAATATTTGCTAAGTGAAATAGTTATCTTTAAATAAATCAAAGTGTTTTACTGAATGAACACATTGATTATTGTTGACAAGAATGCAACGTCTTCTTGATATTCCGGTTATTAAATAAAATTTTCTTAATAAAGAGAATTGATTAATTAATCATATAATTAATTATTATTAATTGACTTGTTGGAATATATTAACTTGAAAAAATTGTTTTCAAAATGTAAATTATGAGTGATTGTTTACCATGTATTATACATTTACCGAAGAATCATATATTCTACTTAATAAGATTATTATTTAAGCTATAAATTTATCTGAGCGAAAACATTTATATATATGTAGACAGCTTAAGAACGTAATAATAACATAGTTTTTACTGCCCTTCTCAAATAAAAAAGTTTCCCCGAGAAATTTATGGGCTGCAAGCGGCTAACTATGATTTTTGGCCAAGGAATACATTGGCGATGTATCAATGCCTTAGGTCATTTTATAAGCCAATTCAAGCAATATAAACAAAGGGTAAGCACATGAAAGCTGTTGGTCCAATCAACGAGATCAGCCCTCGTGCTGTCCCGCCATTGGTGAACGCGGTTTTGAGGGACAGGCTGCGAGGGCGGAGTTCGTGTTTATGATGTTTCTCACCCGCAAAAATACACGATTTTGGAATTTTTTCCAGTCCTACAATAATATAATTAGAGCATATCCTACCACTAATGAATGTTACACGAAAATATCTGTGAATATCAATGTATATATGTAAATTTTAATGAAAAATAGAACGAGAAACGAAAGTATGGAGTCCATTGCGCGAACAGGAGGAGTGGCCGGGGCGTGCGGCGGCCGACGCTCGAGTTGAGGCGCGACGCAGTACCGACCGACGCTACTGGGGGAGAGCTGTTGTCCGCTCGCCTGTCCATCCGACGCGGTCACAAATTTACGTCGGTTTTCGACTGTCCGCTAATGTGTCGTCGGTTTTCAACAGTCTGCTAACGAGCCGTCGGATTTTGATAGTCCGCTAACAAGACGTCGGTTTTCAACAGTCCACTAATGTGCCGTCGGTTTTCAACAGTCCGCTAATGTACCGTCGATTTTCAACAGTTCGCTAACGAGCCGTCTGGTTTTGACAGTCCGCTAATAAGACGTCGGTTTTCAACAGTCCGCTAACAAGCCATCGGTTTTTTACAGTCCGCGAGCAAGACGTCAGTTTTTGACAGTCCGCTAACATGCCGTCGGTTTTCAACAGTCCGCTAATGTGGCGTTGGTTTTCAACAGTCTGCTAACAAGCCATCGGTTTTTCGACTGTGTACCAAGAAGCCGTCGGTTTTCAACTGCCCGCTAACTAGCCTTCGGGTCCTGGAATCGGTTCCTGAACCGAAAGTTTGGTTCGACTTCATCGTTTCTAACAACGGCATATTTTAACGACGCGGTTTTTTGTGAGGTTCGATGGAGAGAAAGTTCGATAATTATTGTATTCGTTGCTCATCGAAATAATTATTTCATCATGATCGAGACAATTATATAATGATGAAGCAATAATAAATTGATAATGTGAAGATATGAAATTGAATTATGCACGTCAGCAATTTCTTGGCAGATTAGTTCACTAATTTGATTAATTAGTTAATGACTAAACCACCTTGTGCTAAGCAGTTTGGATGACTAATCAGATGATTAAGAGAAGTGATAACAAAATTTTTATCATAATTTATTTATTCACAGAGGTGCTGTTCTAAGAAAATGTAAATGATGTTTAAAATATAATTAATATGAACACAATTGAGTGCAAAGATACAAATTGTATATTTCAATTACTCATTTCTGTTCCTAAAAATTTATTTAACATTAGAAATCTATTGTTTGAAATTACGTGGAAATGTTACGTTTGAATTTAAAAGTGAACTTCCAAAAATATAATATGAACTAATATAGAAAGTGTGCTATTATAGGATAAGAAAATTTTCCAAAGTGACAATTGAAAAGGAAAAGACTGTTGAATTTTAGGGAATTGTTTTTTTTGTAAATACAACCATAAATACCCGAATAAAAATATAATATAACTGTCAATTAAAGTGCTACTATACTTCACTGAAATGAAACAATAACATGCATATAAATAACAATGTGTCAGAGTGTCGTGGGGACAGAATATGTGCTGTTTGATTTTAGAAAATTGTCTGAAATTGTGAAATTTAATCTTGAACGGAATCAGAGTGATGAATGATGGTGATTCATCAAATTACAGTGTAGAAAAAGTCCCAGGAAAAACACACAATCAATTTTTGATTCAACATTCTTCAATTAGTGCAAGGTGAGTAAAGTTCCTAAATGTAAATCTAAATTATTGTGTAGATTATCTTATGGTAATTACATATTTCAGTAGATAATTGTATGATTATCGAGTAATTTAATATAAACTGGTAAGAAAAACTCAACCAATGAGAAGATGGATAGCTAATATATAATATTTGTATATGTATAATATAAAATATTTTTTTAACAGAGATTCACTCTGGATTTTACTTATGTTTTACAGTTATAGATAATAGTTTTACTTATAGTCAAATAGATATAAACAATAGTCATGCGCCTTCTGTATGAGGGCTAAATTTGATTTCTAAGTGAATATACTCCTTATTTGATATAAATATAAAATCTAAATTCGAACCACGCATGCTGATTTGGTTCCTTAGTTAAATTAAAAATAATTACGATCATGACTAAAATCTAACATTTTTCACACCTTTAATTGATTAACACCAAAAACGCTTCACATAAAACTTATGACACCGAAAGTGCAAGCTTCTTAAACTCATCATGAACTCTACGGGATTATTGCGCCACAATACAGTAAATCCTTCAAATTGATGCCCTCACAATACAGTAAATCCCTCAAGGCGATGCCCACAATACAGTAAATCCTTCAAGGTAATCCTTCAAGAAGATGCCCCACAATACAGTAAATCCTTCAAGAAGATGCCCCACAATACAGTAAATCCTTCAATAGGCGATGCCCTCACAATACAGTGAATCCTTCAAGGCGATGCGACCATAATACAGTAAATCCTTCAACGTAATGCGACCAGAAATTTATTACAGTTAACCACAGAAGCAAATTTAAAAAGTTTAAATTTATTGATTAAAGTTTACCCTACAGTATTGCAGTTTTGGTCGAATTTTTTATGTATAAATTAATTTTTTTAATTATTAATTCGCTAAAGTCAAAGCAAATTCATTCAAGTAATACTTGAATTATTAATTCCAATGTTTGGATTTATGAAATAATTTCATTAAATTTGAGCCCCAATCAAATTTAATCATTGCCGTAATCATCAACACCATTAATATGTACTATATCTTTTTTTAAATAAAAGGCAAACAAATAATCTTTATGACTTCAGTAGTTTAATTACCACATGATTCTTATTAATCAAATTTCAAAATGTAGCATCAGTCATGTTAAATCCAATTCAGATCTCAATGAACTTGCGTTGGGTAAATCTGGTATAATGGGTAAAAGTTTATTAATTAATATTTAATTCATCAAAATGAAATAAAATTGTCTCATTTATTTAAGAACTTTAAAAATTACTCATTCTCTTTGACATGAAAACTTCGAAACAATCTACATACATTTTTACCCTTCAACGTAGGAATGTTTTCATTGCAGCGCAAATTTAATCACGATTATTAGATTAAAAATTCATAGAATACGTGGATTTTAGAAAGCAAATTTCAAGAATCTCTGCAACCTGAAGAATAAAATTAGTTTTTAATGTTAAGATGAAATTTATTTTATTATATTAATTTTATAATTTTTTAAATTTATTTTATTATATTATTAGTTTATTATCTTAACATTGTGAAATGTTAAGATAATAAACAAAACTCAAAATAATACTATAGTGAATTATTTGTTTGCAGTGGAATATATAGGCTCAAAATTAACCAGGATATAATCGTATAATCTTTATCCAATTGATTGTTATTTCATTTTTGCATAATGTAAATAATTAAAACACGTTTTAATTATGCGATAATTTTAACATTTGGAAGTCTTTTCATTAAATTTCTAAACAAAATAAAAGTCTTTTATCAGTAATTAAAATCAACTCATGAATGATACATGTCTTAATGAAGTGTATAGTTTGAATTTAAAATCCATATATTCTATATTTTTCCCCAACAGACCTTTAACGCCAAAATACCGTTGATTAAATGTTGTTTTAGCGATTTCAACTTTGAATCAACGTTGCTTCGACGCCATTTGTCTGGAGGGAATTTTCATGAATTTAATAAAATTGTTGATGAATATTTCCAATACGTATTTTGACTGCCTATATTATCTGTATCAGATTTGCAAATCTTAGAGCTTCTTTATGATTTACCAACATAATATACATTTTTCAAGCATTTTTGAATGAGCTCATGATAAATAAGTTCTGATTAATATTGTACCTTAAACAAGTTTTGAAAATAATTTTTGTTTTTAACTGAATTAAAAAATAAAAAGCAGGGTACTTGGTGAAATTACTATATAGATGCTCTGTCTTATAAATACAACAATTTATTTACAAGCTTTCGTCACAGATGAGAAATCATGTTTAATTATTACAGGCAAACATGAGACATAACTTTTTTTAGTCCTGCAAGTACACTAGTAAGTACTGTGTACACTAGCATCATCATGCATAAGATATTGAATTTAATTTGTAGCAAGATTATGAAAATTAAAATGAACTGATAGCTAAGAAATGTCTTGTTCATATGTATTTATCTTCCCTATATTATGATGAATCGAAATGAAATTAATTTTAACTTTTTGCGAATATTAACGACGTAAATTTTGTGATCGGAAGAACTCAATATATTCTAATTCTCTAACAGAAATTGACATTTTTAATACACACCCACCATCAAATACAGTTAAATTCATTATTTTGCTCAAACTAATGATAATATAGTCGAAGCTCAAATATAAATAGGAAAAACTTTGTCAATTTTTTTTAAATTGATATAGTGTGCCCGTTCTTTAATAAAATAAATAAAAATAAACGCCATAGCTCATATTATGTGAAAATTTCACTTTAATTTTCGTCCCAAAATTTAAATGCTTTGCCCGGATTTTATTTCCAGACGACGCCTCGCGATGATGCCGAAAGCTTCGATACTAAACATCAACACGTCACCAACATCCTCGTCTCCTGCCGCGTCAACGCGCCCCAAACTGGGCTTTAGCATCGACAGCCTTGTGGGCTTGAGCGAAGCTTCAAAGCCTCCTAAGGCGACGAAACAAAGCCGACACTCAGCCCAACACATCAAGTCCCTCAAGGACCAAGGCGACTCGAACGTCGCCGCGGAATATCGGCGTGATGAAGTCCGAAACGAATTCCGGGGAGAGTTTCGTACGAATTTGTTCAACAACGATGAAGTGATGCAACATCAAATGGAGAATATACAGCAAGCGCTGTATCATATCAACCGGAATAAAAGGAATAATCAGCACCTGTCTTCCCCTTCTAGTTCATCCCCATCCCCATCCCCTCCGTCCAAGGAACCAAATTCCCCGCATCCCCACACCAAGAAAGGACTGGGGTCCCCAAGAAGGAGGACCCCTCCTACATCTCCTAGTATCCTACAGAGAACATTAAATAATTCGGGTTTTCATCGCCCAACTTTTTCTCCACCGGTTGTATCGTCTCCAATGCCTTCGAGGTCTCCAACTTTGTCATCTCCTATTTTATGTTCCGGTGCTTCAACATTGCGTATTCCAGAACCTATTCATCCACTCAACTCGAGTCCTCTCACTTTATCTTTACCAAATACTCTTACTAATCACCTATCTAATCCTTTATCAAATCCACTCAATTTTCCACCGTTTGGTTTGCCACTGGCCGCGTTGTTACCGCAAATACGTCCCGGATACCCGCATCCTTCCCTTGCACAAAACATATCAAGTGCCCAGGAGCTTCATAATTCCTTATCCTCAAGTGAGCCGACATCTTTACCTTCGTCTAGTCTATCGTGTCTGACTTCTTCGGGTGTTACAGTAGCCACCACTAGCGGCTTGCACCACTCACACCCTAATGGCCTCATGTCGAACCCTCTTCTTGCCAATGGGTTTCCCTCCAGCGCCCATTCGGGCCTCATTCAAACAGCGTTACCGGCCTCGTGGGGCCAAACTTCACCAGGATTCAACACTGGCCCTTTGGGACCTTCTCTGATGGGCCCACATGGTTTAGGCACGCCTCTACCACCAGCTAATCTACCACGCCAGTATCCTGTATACCCATGGCTGCTCACGAGACACAACCGATTATTTGGACACCGGTTCCCAGGTGAGACAATTTTCAGTTCTCAGGCTGAGCAAAAAAAAATTTCGATCAGCCGCTGTTTTGTGCGACAAAATTCACTTTTTCGAACCGCTGCTGAAACTATGGTAAGCACCAATGCGGTATAAGGGAAAAATAATATTATTACATTAAAAATGTGCTAAAAATCCAGATTTTTAAATTCTGCTAACTCCATTTTTTGTAATACTTCCTCATTTATTCGAATTTCTTGCTACAGCGTTGTCACTAAAATATATTTTACGGTTGCATTATTGTACACTGTACATGTCTTATATCTCCACCGAATAAATTAATGTTCTATATAGAGTGCGAAATTCGTGCATATGGTTCCAAATATTCCACCTAGAATTAGATTCATTCGCTTGGTGATATTCAAAAGTCACACGTATAGACATTTTTTGGACACCAGAACGTCTCGAAGGCAGTTTATATAAAACAATATATTAATATTCATCAGTATCGCAGTAACATAAAAATCCCGTGCAGAAATTGATTTCCCATCACTGCAGATGTGTATCACTACTATCCACTTGAGTCTAATTTATTCGTATCCGCCAATTATTACTGGTAACACATTTTTTTCGCTATGTCCGTTGTATACATAATTTTAACATGAATAAAAATTAGATCGTATCTATTTTATAGCTTCGTCGTCAGTCCGATAATGGAGAACAAATATATTCGTTTAAGTACGTTGTAAAATGAATATTAAATAGAGTTTAACATAATTTATGCTATACTTAAAGATGTACAGCACAACGTTTAACGAATCTACAAGCATATTTATAGTATTTAAGTCGATATTTAAATTCACTATTTCCCCTTACATGCTTCAAATTCGAAAATACAATCGCCGAGTCTATTCTATATCTGATTGAAGCGAGGTAATTGTATTTAAATTTTATTTTGGAACAACGTTCAACGGGTTTGATATTAATATTATTATCTGATATTAAGTCAGCTAGGTTACTTGGAAATAAATCAATAAAAACCTAAATAAACACTCAACGGAAAAAAATTTAACGTAGGATTGACACTCACATTTTTAATTTATCTGAAACTTCTTAGGAGCATAAATTTTCCATCAGATCTTCTGTATACGAAGATTGTATTTTTAAATCTTATTTAATGATTGTGAAAATAGAATTTTCGCAAACCATTTTTGCTCGGTAAGTCGTACATTAACATTTCTTTCCATTAAACACTAAACCATCAACGAATTTATTTGTAATTTACCCTAAAAAATCAATCAAATATCCCATATTAAAAGTTTACCGAAGTTTAAAAAGTTTTATTTGCATATGGTAAACGTTTATGACGCTCAAATCACCGCGTTAGCTAAGCAACAACGGTAAACAAATGAGTATTTTACCTTTTGTGGGTAAATTATCATATATGGGTACGTTTTTTTAGCTTAAATGAACGTATATATGAGTATAACCTACACGATAAACGGCACCAACCAAATGTTTTCGTTTCTTTAAATTTAATGTCATATTATTAATCAAACTTGATGACGAATTTTCATTTTTAAAGTATCATTCATAAACTTAATGACTCGTTATTTTTTAACTTAATGATTTCTTATATTTTTCAATCTACAAAATCAAGTTTACACGTTTTTGGAACACATGTTTATTCTCGTTATTTTATTTGTACATTTTTCCTCTTTCACTTGCATTCATTTTACACCAGAATATAATTTTTTCCATAATTTATAGTTGATACCTCATTTGATAACCCAATTTCAGATTAGAATCGCCAAACATATTAATGGTATTTGACCTAACATCCAATAATTTCGTCCGATATTTACGCATGAAACTTCTAGTTAAATTACTGTTAAATAAGTGAAATTTTTAATGAAAAATTTATTTACTGAACATTGTTCTAATTCGTTGAATGCACTGCGATCGGGAAATTAGACTTTTGTCCACATTTAAATATATTAACAATGTATTGACGCCTCCGAACTACCAATCACCATTCAGAAACTCATACAAGTATATATTCAAAGTATTTTATCAATATATTATCCTAATTTATTTAACTTTACACCAAGCCGTTACTTCCTCGTCCATTCTCCTTCTGCAGCCGTTTTGTGCGTTTTTTATATAATCTTAAGCGAGATAAATGTTTAAAAATTACTCGATTTTAACGCATTCCTCGCAAAATTTCCATTTTCTGTCTAGAAATGAGAATAAAAATTGGTAGAATTTCCATTTTTCATCTAAAAATTATCCATTTAGAAATTTAGAAAGAGAGAAAAAAATTATGGTAGATTTTTTCAGCATGAAATTTTGCGCGATGTTGAGTCATGCAGCCTCGCCGTACGCAAGAGTTTAACGGCCTAAACGCTGACGAACATTAATGTTGTGACTCCGGTCACGTACGTTCGTAATAAGCGATCTAATAATGTTGAAGAAACGTGCCCAGTAGTGCCGTTTCTTGCCATGTTTCTCGCTCCCAGAAGCAATGTTTATTGAACTAATTTGATTGGCTAGAGAGCCTTTGACGTGTTTTATTTAAGACACGAGATTACCAACTCGTTACATTCGGATTCTATTAGGCAATAACGTTCAAATTTCCGAGTTCAATCTTGATATGTTTGGGCAATTAATTTTCAGGGTTTACTGCATGTTGCTAAAGCAGAATAACATGGCCTTAATAAAACGATAACGTGAGTTGTATCATAAGCTTCAGAAACCAACCACAACGCTCGCGTAAAAATGGACGAAAATTTGGGACAACATTCATAAATTTCTCGTTCAAATCGACAACAATATCCTAAATTTCAGGAACTTATTCACGGGTTCACACATGCACAAACTTTTTATGTCGTTCTGTGAATGTTATGAACCGCACTCGTGATGTAATGTGTACTCATATCAACATACATAATTGAATGTTCGGACGAAAACTTAGTGTATTGGAGAATCACGACAAATCAAACAACTAAATTATATATTTATCACTAGTCGTACCAGCTTCTTAATAAATTAATTAAAGAATACATTCAAATATTTATACTTTTGGAGCCACCCAGCAGCTAATCAAGCGTTTTCCTGTTAATTCCAATATTTTTAGAATGAAAAATACAAATTGAATCGATTTTTGATACCGAGGTGACTTTGGAAAATTCGCATTTTTTTTTGTTACTCTGTGTATTAAATTTCAGTTAATTAATTCAATAATTAATTCAAATAAATTAAATTATTAATTACATTAAATTTAATTTAAGGGGACCGGCTACCCTCCGGAAAAACTTCTACAGTTATTATCCGATCATCATGAAACTTCACATACATACGTAAAATGTAAAAATAAGAACATTTTGCTTATATGAATTTTTAAAAAAATTGATAGAAAACGTGAAATTCATAGAAAACGGCTAAAAAGGGGTACTTTAGAAAATCTATCTCCTCTTACAAATATCATCCTACAACATCGAGAAACGTATCATTCGGTTCGTAAGGACCATACCTAAAAATTTGATGATCACTTTTCTCATTTTCCCCTTAGTTTTTTTTTTATGCGCGTTTTATCCCATTTTTCTCATTTTTCCCCCCCTCCCCCCCCTTCTCCCCATATAAAAAACGAACCAGACAGAAATTCAAAAAAATGATCATCAAATTTTTAGGTAATTTCCTTACGAATCGAATGGTGTATGTCTCATTGCTGTAGCTTGAAAACTGTAGGAGGAGATAGGTTTTCCGTGACAATAAGTTGAACTTTTCAAACTTTTCAGGACGGCGCGACAAAGTCCCATGCGCCTCGAAATAGGCACTCAATGTAGAATGGATACCAAACTACAGGCTTCTGTAGCTTAATCCACTCAAGGATGCTAGCAGCAACTTGTAGCGCACCTCTACGTACAATGTTAGGAGGGTAACTGAGCACAGATGCCAGATACACCAAGATATGTAGTCTTGCCGCTCTAATTTTATTAGGTCTATTTAGTGAAGGAACTCCACCCCCCGCCCCCCATTAAAGCCCGGCCATCTGCGTCAATATTGCCGTACATGGATCGCAGTAGTATCGTGGGAAAGCTCAGAATGTCAGCTTTAAGATGAGACTAAGCATGTAACTGCAGCACAACTCAAGTATAAACTTTATCCAAAGATTTCAGCAGCTAATTAGTTTATATCTAATTACTTAAAGAACTCTCTCACCCGCTTCCCTTTAAAGAGACGCATGAACGTAAATATTGGCGTACAGCGATGGCAGTAGTACCATTGGAAAGAGCAGAATTCCAGCTTTCAGATGAGCACAAAAACCGAAAAACGCCAAAATTGAAAATTTTAGGGTAGCCGGTCCCCTTAATTAACTAAAATTACCTCAGCTGGCGGCACTTAACAAAGCGAGGAGCAATTGTGTAATTTACAATGCATGATTAATAATATGTTTAACTTCTAGGACGCCTAGAGTGGACTAATAAAGTTCATCATTTTATTACTTTTATAAAATTTTCTCATATAATTAAATATTTTTCTACTGTCAAATGAGTGTATAGTTGTGTTGACAAGAACGTGTTAGGAGCTTTTATTGTGTGAATACATAAGAATTTTGAGTGAGATGAAGAAGATGCTGTAATGAGTGAGAAATAAATAGTGATATGTTGGTGAAAGAGTAGAATGATAGGACAAGAGAATGAGAGAATAAATGTGAGATTAGGAATGAGCGAATGGAAGAGAGAGAAGGCCTGATAATGCATACACAGAGAATTTATGACAGAGAAAGATAGTGAATTTTGAGTGAGAATAAAAAATTAGTAAAGCGGAATAAACGCTTTTAAAGATGTTAAATGAATTAAAGAGAAAAAAGTGAATGGGAAGAAAGAGCAAGAGAGAGCGTGGAGAGAGTGGTGAGGTAATGAATTTAAAATAAATACATTAATTTGGGAGAGAGAAAGCTAAACAATGAAAGGAAAGGAAGAGTTGTTGAATAGATGAGAATGGAAATAAATGTGAAGAAAGGGGTTTAGG